AAAGAGAAAAGAAGCCTTATCAAAACTAAGGGTAGTTTAGGGAAAAACAAAAACAAAAACATTCTAAGTTACCATTGCTTTTACTTGACTTTGGCTTCAAGTTGATCTTGACATTTCTCTAGTCATGTTAACAGAAGGTATGCGATTTTCATTTGTATCAAGTGGGGGCATGCCTTTAAAGTGCTTTAGACACACTGGGCTAGTGAGGGTTTTATGGGCCACTTTCTGTGAGAGGCTTTGGAGATTCAACTCTGCTGTCTGTATGTGATGCTGCAGTCATGAATGTTTATTTCTGTCTTTTGCTTCAGTGGTTTTGAGACCTCAATATAATTTTAGGGTCTCAGCTCTCCTTTAAAGATCTTCTTTGATAAATGAGGATTTGAGATTCTAAAAGAGGGGGACTTGCTCAACTAGACATAGGGCAGAGCCAGGATCAAAAACTGTTTCCTGATTTCTTACCCCATGCTCTTTATACTTCAGAACTTTCTATATGCATAGCTATTGCCTTTCTATTGGCTTCCAACAGAAGGGGATATATGGGTTGCCATTTTCTTTAAATACTTCAGAAAGCTGTGAAAACCTTATGAGGGCAGAAAATTTGTCTTTTGTGAGTATTGGCATATCTCAGCTCTATAAAAATTCCTGAAGTATAGTAAAGCTAAATAAATATCGAATGAGTAAATTGTGTGTGTCTGTGTTCATTAGTCCACATAAAGGGTCTTTAAGGACAATAACTCTCAGTCTAGGATAAGGATGGCTTGACTGCCTACTACAAATTCAAGAATATGTATATGAATATATGTACATATTTACATACATATTTATCTATAGATTTGCTTAAATTCATCCTGTGGTAGTAATCTCAATTTTGGGTAAAAATTAGAATCAACTGGAAAAATTTTTTTAAATGCTGATAACTAGACCTTAGAGCAAAGATTTAGATTTCACTTGCAGTTTCAGATGAACCTGGGCATTAGCACCTGTTACATGCCTCATAGCAGATTCTAGGATGCACCAACCTGGAGAAACACTGAGGTCACATCTGAGGTGCCCTATCTGGGAGATAATGCTTGCTGTGGTTAGCTAAATGTTTGAAAGAACTGCTTAATCCAGAGGAAGTTTCTACTTTAATTAGTGATAACTATCTTTACCTCTAATTAGTGCTAAAGGGTAATTTGGTAATTTGCATTGGAGATGTTACAATCTATTTGTCACTCGAAGGAGGATTCAGAAATATATGCTTGACTAGAAAAGACTTCCATCCTGGGTGTCAGCTAAATATTTAGCTCTACTACATGTCAGGAATTTTCTTTTTTTAATGCTCTTTGAAGACCTAGGCCCTTACTGAGTGCTAAATCTTGTGTTGGGCCACACATGGAACGTCTTGTCATCTGATTAGACTGTCAAAGTAGCTGAAGTCTGTTACTAGAATGTCATTTTATTTGCCCCCCCTCCAAGTGAACCTTTGATGCCAGACACTATCCAAGGGCCTAGAAGGACACTAAGCTCACAGAACAGGCAGCGGTGCTGTGTGCTTGTTGGCCAACAATTGTCCATACATGTGGCAGCATTTGGGTGGAGATACATTATTTACTGTGACCAGGCACCTTCTCTAAGATGTCCTGGGAAAAACTAGTGCCTTTACTCAACTCTCATGTCAGAGGCTACACACACACACACACACACACACACACACACACACACACAAACACACACACAAACTCTTGCCCTGTGTTGCTTACAGCAGAATGTGTGTGCTTCTCTGGTGAGTCCTGGGGGGTAGAAGAGGATTTTGGTATTGTTTTCATCCTTTGAGAAGAGGTAAAGGAGATGTCACAACCCTGCTCAAAATATCCTCAGAACATTTGACTTTTCAAATACAGGTGATTGCATTCCTAGTTGGCAGGGAAGAGGCAATAACCTTGAACCTGATTTGCCTCACTTTTATGACCTCCCTTTGGCATTTTCGAGCGTGTAACTGAGCCATGGTCTGGCACTGAGGATACTTGGATTCCCCAACAGGCAAAGTCAGCCACTTCTCTGAGCCAAGGAAGGTGAGTAGCAGCTGGGTGCGGAAAGGCTATTAAGAGGGATGGCAAAATGAGCAATTTTAAGTGCAACAGTGGAACAAGGTGTCTTCCAAGTCAAAATCTGGCTTTAGTCCTTGGATTCCTTCCTTTTAGTACCATGGTGGGTGTCCTAAGGACAAGGAGTGTTAATAATGATAAACTTTTGTGTGCTATAAATTGCCTTTGATTGTAGCAAAATAAAAGTGACCATCCTAAATGTCTGTATATAGGAGAGCAGTTAAATAAGCATCATACATCCACCCACAGAAATCCATGCTGTTGTTTAAAATAATGAGGTATTTTTGAGCTTAGAAGTAAAAAAAAAATCAAGAATTAAATCAACACTCAGATTGCAATTAAACAACATTCTTTCTGTGCTATTTCAATTTTTAGCAATAATGCATTCCTTACATAGTTAAGAAACTATAATAAAAATTAAAAGTCTGAGTAGAAATACAATATCTTAAAATTTGGAAAGTAGAAATTGTCCTTGGAGCTCAACTATGGTGCAAGAACCAGGTGGTGTCTGGATACATCTTTCAAACCCTGGCGACATCGATAAGTGCTTCAAGTTCTCCTCCTCTGCCTCTCACTTTCTCCAATTGTAAACAGGGTTATAATTCTGGTCCCATTGAAATGCATAAATCCTGAGAGGAGCGAGGAAAGGCTCCTGAGGTTACACTGGCAAAGCTCAAGGACTCTTCCCTCCTCATTCTGGTCATAGCTTGTTGACATTGGGTTGCTAAATGATTGCAGGAATGACTTGGATTGTTATCGTTATAATTCATCTTGGTAAGAAAAGATTATGCTGAGTTTGAGGTTACGGTCGAGCCAAACATACAGCTTTCAGAATTTAACCTCACTAGGTAAACTTTAGTGGGATGGATACTTCTTAAAAACAAGGGACAAAGAACATCCCTCCATTTGGGAGCTTCTAGTCTCAATTTTGATGAATCAGAATGATTTGAAGATATAATTTTGTCTTAGGTGTTGTTAGGGAACTCAGTGTATCTAGAATCTCTTCAAAAAGTGAAGCCTCGTATGCTTTATAATGACAAACTAGGCATGAGAAAAGGACCAGTAGAGAGACCCAGTGCGATTTTCTGGGACTGAAGATACCTGAGGATCTGCCTAGCTCTACCCTTCCTTAAATTCAACCCCACCCATCAACCCATAGTTTTCTGCGAAGTTTTCTTTGACATTTCCCGGAGCCTCCTGTACAGAATCAGCCAGGTGTGAGGGGATCTTACATGACTAGAAGGACGTGGTGAGCCGCCTGCCTACCCTCACTTGCTTCTTCCAGGTGATTTGAACACTGACATGGTTTTTCATTGATTTTGGTTGGGTCCCAGTTGGATCTAGGTATGAACTGCCCTAGATAACCTTCTCCGGGCTTACTGTTTCTCTGCTTTTGTTGGCTGGAAGTGAAACTCTTCAACTTAGCATCCTCTGCAGCAAGTTACTTAATGTTTCTCAGCATCCTCTTGGTAAAATGCAAACCTTGATTTTGCTCAGATTTCAAAAGCTTTAAATTCTTTGTGATTCCATAGTCAAGGAATTTTATAGTCTATAATCCTAATAGTTATTGCCTAACATCCTTTTCTATATGGATCAGGTCTGGAACAAAAAAAGGCATAAGAAATGGTGGAACAGGTTTACATGTTCACTTTCCCTAGGTAAAATATGATAGTAATAGCTGACTGACTCCATCCCCAAAGAAAACACCAGGCAGTTTCCTTTAAGTAAAACTGTTTCTGGGATAGCTCATGAAAAGACCAAAAGAGATACAGGAGTTACTGGGAGCCTCCCTCTATGACTCATTTTGAAATTTCCAGAAAAGAAACACCCACAGGCAGATCTGTTCAAGGGGAGAAGAGAATAATAGTCATACCTGTTGAGGGAAAGGCAGATGCAGAAAGGTCAATGTAACATCCTAACACACAGTTTCCTCCACTAACGTATACTCCCAGCCTCTCACTCTAGCCTCCTTTCTTTAGTGATTAAAAAAAGAAAGAAATCAGATTTTAAATGGATTTGAAGATAGTAACCCCAGTTTCTCCTTGAACGAGAAAGAGACCTAAATATATTCTACATCCATCTCAGAGATGGGAAACCAGAAACAGGAATTCTTCACTTGTCCCCAATACAGAGAACTTTGCCCTCTGGCAATGCTTCTCAAACCTGGATACATCAGAATTATTTGGGTGCTTTGAAAAATACAGATATTAGAACTCACCACAAATTGACTCAAGATCTCTTGGCGGGTGGCCCTGGGACCTGCCTTTTGACAAGCTCTGATAGCTGAGGCTTTTACCCATAGCATTTGAAAAGTTTGACTCTGTGACCTAATGAAGGTCATATGATTGCTAATAACCGGTCTCATATAAAATATCTCTGGATCACTCGAATCCTTTTTGAATAAAAAGTGTTCCAGTAAGTATGCTGTTCTGGAAGACGGTGAGTATGTCATGTGCTAATTATGGCCAATGACACCATAAAATAAAAGTGCATTACTGAATGCTTTCTTATAGTAATGGGAAGGTGGCATGTCATTGAACCTTTTTAGTTCCAGACATCAGCCCAAAGAATTTCAAGCAGATACAGACAAGGGCCATTAGGACCCAGATCCTTCTTTCTCGAACTGTTTACCCCTGGGTATAGGATGTCCTGAAGCAACACTTCCCCCAAGTGAAGTGTTGATAAGCCTTGTTATCAGGAAGATATTATTGGGAGTGTGATTTGCAGGGCATTTATATTTTCTTGATATGGTTAGTCATATGAAAGCTGACAAAGAAGGAAAAAGAGCAGTGTTGTGGTGCAATATCAACAGACAGCTGTCCTCTGGCTTCTCGATAAATAGGATGACTTGCATTGCTGAGCGATGTGGTCACCACCAAAGGAATGGCCCTCTCACATTTCCTCCTGATTCACATATTGAGCTGGGTAACTTGTCATCCCCCACTTCTGCTTCCCAGACACTGAGTCTGGGATGAAAATTCACCTGCCTCTGAGTTGGCCACTGGTGGGGGGCGGGGTGTTACTTGGCTTCCCAGGTTGGAAGATTAGCTCACCAGTCCTAGCTATATAAGCTGGCTGGTGTGGAGGGGTTCAGCAAGGCCAACTTGAGGGACTCATTCCACACGAGAAAAACATACAGACTGACTTCAGGCCGACATGATGGTGCTGAAAGTAGAAGATCTGGTATGTAAGACATTATTTTTACACAGGCAAAACTGGTTCCATCGTGATTCTCACTTGGAAATTGAAATTCTCTTTCTTTCAGGTATAATGCACAGGTACTCTGAAAATGTCATATATGGGGAAGTGTCGGCTTATGTGATTTAATCAGTGAAGCTGGAAAAATGAAGCCGGGGCAGTAATGAATTCGCCAATAGTTCCTGTTTATTATCTTTTCTTTGGTTTTATTATTAAAGTGTGAAATCACATGTAGTTATCAAAATGCCTTCAGGAGAAAGTTCTAGTGCAGGAATTTATGCCTGGAAACTTCATAACTGAAGGTCAAGAGTCCTCAAGAATACCCAAAATGGAATAATTTTAAATAATCAGAGGGAAGACGTCTAGGAAGGATTTTCCTAGCTGAAATGTGTTTAAGCAGAGTGAAAGTAGATGTAACTATGCAACCTAACAAGTCTTGATTTACCCACGAGCACAGGACAGGCACCTGAACTTAACCCAGGTACTCTCAGTTGGGTTAACTTCAGTGTGACAGCCTGAGAATGTGCTGCAGAGATGTGGCTTCCACGTGGGCAGGATGGTTGAGGGCCACCTGCCACAGCCTTTCCCAAGAAGGACCTGGGACGGGCCCCTCTCTTTCTGATCCTGCCATCTTCTTCCCTCCTAGGTCACAGGGAGGAAGAACAGCAGTGGGGATGCCGGGGAGTTCCTTCCTGAAGATTTCAGAGATGGAGAGTATGAAGCTGCTGTTACTTTAGAGAAGCAAGAGGACCTGAAAACACTTCCAACCCACTTTGTGAACCTGGGGGAGCAACAGTGGAAAACTGAGAAACAACGAGAGGCAGAGGTAAGAGGCTTCCGTGGTAATCCAATAGCGGGAAGTTGGGATGGGGTAGGGGACTAAGGAAGAAGAAGAAAGGGGAAACAAAATAAACACAGTCATTCCAAAGCTGTTTTGTTACCACGTTCCAACCCCCCCACCCCCAAAGAGGCATCTCCTATGGGTCAATTTGTTGGAAAAAATTCTCTGGTAGAACAATGACCTTAGAATTTTGAAAGAATGATCAAATGTTATGGGGCCAGCTCTGATTGGAAGACTTGGAAAGACTAATATATGCAGGGAATTTCTGCTGTCATGCACTGTCTAGTAAATCCAAGCAATGGAGACCTCTTTTTCTTAATGACATGGTTTGTAGTCCATGGGTCATTGTTTAACTCTGGCCACCATCTGTGTTGACAAAATCTGTGTTGCCAGGTAAATTTCCATTACTTAGTAACCACAGATAAAACATGCATTAGTTAGCTGTAGCCACAGGACCGACTTTCATTGGCCTTACTTACTGGGCCACTTGAAAGAGATTGGTGTTAATATTTCAGAGCTTAATACTTACTATTGGATTATTGGGGTCACAAAAAATTCTCAAGCATGATAAAAGCATTGTACAGAAATCTCAAGGTTGTTTATGTCAGCAATTACAAAATCATCATTTAGAACTAGTTCCTTGCTCTAATTTTTCAAAACCTGATTCCATAATCCAGTGAAGTGAAAATGAAGACATTCAGCTGAAAAATTACACCCATCCAAATACTTGAATAAAAAATCATTAATTCAGAGTCAAAGACTTATTTTAAAATCTCTCTCTCTTTTTTTTAACTCAAACTGTTCACATCCTTATCACCTGCAGAATTTGGTTAGACCCACCAGAATGCTGGTCAGTAGACTATCATAGCTTGAAATGTGGCTTTCTTTTCTAGCTCAAGAAGAAAAAACTAGAACAAAGATCAAAGCTTGAAAATTTAGAAGACCTTGAATTAATCATTCAACTGAAGAAAAGGAAAAAATACAAGAAAACAAAAGTTCCAGTTGAGAAGAAACCTGAACCGGAAAGCATTGTAAGAGTTGTTGGCTGTGGAGTACTACATGCCTGGTGTGTGTGGTGCTACCCTGGATAAATATTTGCGGAGGGTTTGATTGACTGTTGGAAAGCTTGCAGTAACTCTCACACTATTTGCTTTTCTTTTTGACTTTAGACAGAACCTGTGGATGTGCCTAGGTTTCTGAAGGCTGCCCTGGAGAATAAACTGCCAGTAGTAGAAAAATTCTTGTCAGACAAGAACAATCCAGATGTCTGTGATGAGGTAAAGCCTATACAAAACACTGCAAAATCCAGCTCATTAATTTTGTGTTTCTTATGCTTTACTACAGCCTCGCTAATATGGTGCCAAAAATCAATCCACCTGAAACAATCTCCCCAGCTGCTGCCACATATGCCACTAGCATAGGAGCATGCAGTGGTCCAGAGAGAGAGAGAGCAGAATTAGTGCTGTGCATTGCATTGTTGTTTTTTTCCTAGCTATTTTTACTCTTTAACTTTTTGGATCCTTTGAGATAGACTTTTAACAAGGCAGGACCAACAAGTTTCCTTTGGAGAAATACACTTCGTATCCCCTTTGATTGGCCCCAAACACATCAGAGTTAGACAGGGAAACTGGAGGCTGGAATTCAAGTGCCAGCTCTATCATTACTTGAGTGTTTGATTTCTAGCACCTGATTTGCATTTTTTTTTTTTGAGTTCAGTTTCCTGACTTGTCAATAGAGGGCACCGAATGAAAGAATGCCTAAAATTGTTCCAACTCTAATATTCTATTAGTTGACCATATAAGGCCAACTTACCTGACATCACTAAGGTGTTTTTTTAAATTCTTCCCCCATTAGATGAAATGAGGAATTCTTTCTGAAATTGAACTAAAAATGAGTCTCCCATTTTCTTAAAAGTGAATTGAATTCTTTTTTATATTCAACCTAGCAATAGTCCCAGATGGAAGAAAACTGTCTGTTCTGCATGGCAAACATCATACAATGAAGGCACAAAATATAAGAAAGGGAAATGACAGCATTTAGGTAGTTTTCATCCTTTAAGTTCACTGCCCTCAATGTAGACCCCTGCACCCAGAGAAAAGAACATGCAGCAAGCTCCAATCTCAGCTGCAGGATCACTGTTCTAGTTCTGCAATATTAGTAAATCTGACATTTCTAATTCATGAGGGGCACATAAGTTTCTACCAATTAGGTCATCAGAATCCCCAGTTTCATACCCGTTAAAAGGTTGTATTTCATTTTTTATATTTACATATTTATTTTTTAGATGCATTGCTATGTCTTTCTTAAAAATCTCTCTTCTAACTAACAGTATAAACGGACAGCTCTTCACAGAGCATGCCTGGAAGGAAATTTGGCAATTGTGGAGAAGTTAATGGAAGCTGGAGCCCAGATCGAATTCCGTGATATGGTAAATATATTTTTTTGCTTGGAAATGAGCCACAATAAGTAGGTTATAGGAAGCTTGAGAAAGCCGACAACAAAAAACTGGGATGATTGGTTTGAAAATTGATCTGAGAGAATTAGGCAAAAGCTTATTTTTCCATAGGAAGGAAAGTTAGAAGAAGCCTTCGGGTCATGTGGAAAGTATTTTCCATATGTACTGAGGAGAGGACTATTGCAGGGAACAGAAGCGAAAGCTGCTGAACAGAACTGAATATCCTCATCAGAGAGTAGGGTCATTATCAAGTCAGCAGCATTACTGAGAAGTAATACAGTCGACAGTCGCTTCTCAACATCCCTGCTCTTCCATTATACCAGGCGGTTGACTCGGGCCCCCTTGACTGCCAGCGATGCTGTGGAATTCTCTAGCTGTACACTTTATATGATAGACACCAATTGCCACTGATGAGATTTGGGACTTAACTGCATATTAAATGAATTGCTTCTACAGAAAGTAGCTATTTACACCTCAATAATTCAATGTGACTTCTATAATGCCCAGTCTACAATGCATTTTATGAACTGAAGATTGAACTATCAAAATGCTTTTATTTATTAAAATGCAGCTCAATTTGATTTTATAGAAAGTAGAAAAGGATAATCAAAAATGTCCAAAGGAGTTGGCCAAAATTGAATCCCAAAATAAACACATTGGGAAACAACTAAGTAAACCAAAAATAAAGTTTGTGTGAAAGGACAATAGCTCTCATGTATCTGGGATTTTAAAGGCCAGCTATATACCAAATGGAATTGTGAAGAGGACCTGTGAGTAGGTGCCATATGCAATGTCCACAAGTGATGGGCAGATGCTTTACGTGCACAAATGACCACAGAGAACCAACCACTATGAGATGGGAATGAACAGGGGCTCAGGAAGCGGTGTCAGAACCAGATGAAAATCTTCTGGAAGGGACTATTATTCCACTAGAATTTTAAACTACATTTGTTTGGAATATTGAGTTTATCTGGCATAAGTGACTAAATGTCCCAGGCAGATGTGCGTTTGAATATCTGTTCTGATACTTACTAGCTGTGTTTCCTTGGGCAAGAAACTTGAATTTGTTTTAGCTTTGTTTTCCCCATCTGCAAAATGAACACAATAACAGCTACTCCCTAATGTTGCCGGGAAGATCCACACAACTAAAGCTTATGCACCAGGCTGGTACTAGGAGTTCTCAATAAATTGTAGTTCTTGTTCTTTAAAATAGAGATTTAGTAGATGTACTGTGTCTCTGAATGGTCCACACAGATACACAGTTACAGCCACACATAAAGTTTAGCTGAAACCTTTGACAAGAACCTCTGACTACAATAGTTAACAATAGTTAGGACTGGCAACCTAGTAGAGAAACCCAGTGTTACCACTGGTGCCCTAGCGAACAGTATTCCTGGACCTTGGAAATCAGGGTCTAATTTCTCTGACCACGTTCTCCTTTTCATTAAGTCATGCCCTTTTCCCTTTTGGTTATAGCTTGAATCCACAGCCCTTCACTGGGCAAGCCGTGGAGGAAACCTGGATGTCTTAAAATTGTTGCTGAACAAAGGAGCAAAAATCAACGCAAGAGATAAGGTATTTATCCCTTCACCCTCCTCTCTCTTCCCTCCCCCGGCTCCCCTTTCTCCCTCTCCTCCTTTACTTCCTGCTCCCCTCTCTCCTGTTCCTCTTCTTCTTCCTCTGCTACCACCTACTCTTTCTCCTCACGTCCTCTCTCCACCTCCCACTTGTTTTCCCTCCTACTCCCTTCCTTCTTCTACCTTCTACACACGCTCCTCCTCTTCCTCGTTCTCCGCTACCGCTGCTTTTCCTGCGGTTCTCCTCCCCGCTCCCTCTAGCCCCCCTCTCCATAACTTCCCTTGTCACCTCTTTCCCAGCCTCCTTCTCTCCCCCGCTCTGCCTGCTCCTCTTCACCTACCCCTCCTCTCCAACCTCGGCCTCCTGCATACCCTGCACTCCAGCCCCACCTCATCACCACGGTCAGGGGAAGCTCATGCTGCCCAGAAGCACCACAGTGGCCACTACCTGCCTCACATATATTTTGGGGTCTGGGGCCACTTCTGCACTCAGGCCCATGACTCAGCCCTGTTTCTCAAATTCCCAGCTGCTCAGCACAGCGCTGCACGTGGCAGTGAGGACTGGCCACTACGAGTGTGCAGAGCATCTCATTGCCTGCGAGGCGGACCTCAACGCCAAAGACCGAGTGAGTAGCAGCCACCTTCTTCCTAGGGATCTCCCCGAGTCAGGGACTGTGGGGGAAGGGAGCCGCTTCCCCGTCTCAGTCCTGTGGTCAGCGAGTCGCTCTGCCTTTCTAGGAAGGAGATACCCCGCTGCACGACGCCGTGAGAATGAATCGCTATAAGATGATCAGGCTCCTGATTATCCACGGCGCTGACCTCAACATCAAGAACTGTGTAAGTTGCTGTGCTGCGAACCAGACACTCAGCTTGGGTTACACTTTAGAACTAAATATCCCTCGGTGGTAGGATTTTGTGGAGTCTTCTCATGGTTTACATACCTCTGTCCACTGGGACAGGCTTAACCTTGGCGAGGACTCAGCTCATTTGGTCAGGGATGGGGACAGTGACTGGTATGACTTCAGGGCCTAATACAGTGTCTAGTGATTCTTTTAAAACTTGGTCTTGAGAATAAAAGATGTCAGTCAGATCGCTGAGCTCCGCAGCACAAGCTCCGTCATTGGCCTGGCGGTCCTTGGCTGAGCAAGGCCGGTATAGTCAGGATATAGACTCCTGCCATCGGAAATGGTCCTCAGTTCCAACCTTTCAGCGCATCCAGGGCCCAGTGAGGCACGTGGTGTTCAATCTGACTATCTGTAAATAAAGCCCGTCCTTCCTACAACGAGGCACCCTAGCGCCATCTTCCAGGGGTAACTGTGCCTTTGCCTGTAGTTTGGAAATCATTCTCTACACCCTGGCTTTTCATTCATCCACTTTGGTTTCTCTGCATATTCCTCAAAATAATTTCCTATATTTAGGCCCTGAAAATGCTTGTATAAGTCCTTCTACAAGTACATTTTAATTTAGCTTCATCTGTAAGCAGGGAATGTAACCAACTTTTCCTCATAGTCCCAATTCCCAGGCAAATATCATCTAATATAAGATTTAAAAATATCACCCAGAGATGGGTGTAAATTATTGAAAAAATAATTCAAAATAAGCTTTGGGAGAATCACTTCACAAAAGAAAAAGAATGCCCAGTTATCTTAGAATGTGAGTAATTTCTTCCCCTTATTATGTTACTATGAGATTGAGGAAATTCTTTTATTTTTTATAAAAAATCATAGCTTAGTGACAGGGACAAAGAATAAATGCAGTCAAGACTGCTTGAGGTGGGGAAGTGTTAACAGTAGGGTTCCCTCATCTTTAATAGTAGGATTGATATTATCTAAAACTTCAAATAAAATATCAGAAAAAGAGTAGCATCTATGAACTTTCTAATGCTGAAGAAAATGTGGTAATTTTGTTTAGGCAGTGAGATGTTACCAACAGAGATAAGTAGCATATAGATATAGGGAGACTGTGAGAAAATCAGTAAAATAAATTTCAATATGGAACAAGAAATTGATTGAAGAATAGCCTCAATTATATAAATAGGGATTGGGGTTTGTGACACTCAGGTAGACCCTGGTGCAAATATGTCATTGACTCAATGGGTAGATGTGCCCAGAAAAGACCAATAAGCTACTGGACACCTCTGTTGTTTTACAAGCCTGTAACAATATATTATTCTGTTATTGTCCCAAACCACCAAAATACCAGAATGAAAGTCACAGGGTGACAAGGCAGGCAGAGCTCACCAACAGCCCTTTCCCTAGCCCTGCCCAGCAGTGCTCTGTGGAAGTGCAGTTTCATCTTGCCAGTTTCTGATTTTTTCATGGAGACCATAAATTCAGTTGGCAACTCTCTTGATTTCCAACTGTTGCCAATTAATTCCAACCTAAAAAGAGAGAGAGAGAGAGAAAACTAAGCTCTGTTTGGGCCAAAACAGATTTACATCTCAAATCATAGGTTAAAGAGAGACTTCTGAATGAAGAGAGTTGGAGAAATTCAGGACTTCTCCTATCTAAAAACATATAGAGGTATACATAGTTTTAATTTTTGTGATAACTAGAATAAGATAAATGAAATTTTGGTCTTAGAAGTCATTTATTCATAAATGTCACTGATGTTACCTCCAAGAAAAATATTTCCTGGGAGAGCCCAATGTAAATTATGAGAAGTTGTGAAAGATCTCCCCCTGGGATCAATAGTAGTACTGAGCCAAGCATTAAGTACTTAAGCCACAGTGTTGAAAGTGGTCATTTGTCACAGTTCATATCCAAGTGGATAAAAACTGGTCATTGACTAAGAGGCCAAGACTCCCTCCCACATCCATTCTGCAAGATGCTGGAGGTAGATGGAGGCATTTCCTGAGTTTCAAAATGACTTAGTGTGCCCTAGCAATCTAGAGACTAGGGATAGTTACAATCTCTAGGATAATCCCATAGGGGGAAAAATTGCTGTTCTGAAATGCAAAAGCATTCCAGTGAGAAACAATGAAGGGCTGTTTTGAATATAAATTTTGAATCATTCATAGTGGAAACACTCTAATAACGTGCACCTGTCCCTGACCTCATTACACACGCACACAGAGGATGTGGCTCTGTGGATGCCTCCCAGCCTGGAATTCACATTTCCTCATCTATTTTACTTAGGCTGGGAAGACTCCCATGGATCTGGTGCTCCACTGGCAGAATGGCACCAAAGCAATATTCGACAGCCTCAAGGAGAACTCCTACAAAGCCTCCCGCATCACCACGTTCTGAGCAAATGACACATTGGCTGCTCTTCATCAGCATTTTGAAGGCACAGCCACAGAGAAGAGCATCTAGTCACACAATCCAGCTGTTAATCAACCTGTTGTAAAGCTGCACTTAATGAAGTTTGGAGAAAGCACAGAGATATAGATAATTGAAATTTGCCTTCATGAAACCTGCTCTATTTATTTCTATTTATTATGATTTATTTATTTCATTTACTTCAATAACTAGTGATCCTTATGCCATCCATTTGGTGAGCAAAATTTCATTTGTATATATCACATCAGAGCCTTCCCTAGAGTGTTCTTAAACCACGTTGACGAGCAATATGCTCCCAGTGCCTCCTGGCTGCTTAAGCTATTTCAAGGTGTTGGTAAAAGACAGAGGTGATTTTTGCAACTCTCTTTTCTCCTGAAATTTTAATGCTGAAGTTTGAGGCAATGAAAGACATGTAGTGGCAGGGAAGGGATGGGGTGAAATTGATGCTTCGGGAAGGACAGGAAAGCCAGCCGTTGTACAGCTGGGCTTGGTATTTGCCAAGTCACACCCTCAGCAAAGACCAGAGAATGCGCTGAGTGCGAAAAGAGCATAGAACAGGGAGTGGCATCCAGGCCATGCAGAATGGAATTCTCTCAAGAACATGAAAGTGACGATGGAATGTAAATGTGTAAATGTATATGATGTTGTATGTATATTTTATATTCATAATAAAAGCAAAACATATTCTAAGCCTCTGAGTATGTCTATAACTAGCATGGGGAAGAACCATGAGGAAAAGGCTATTTCCCTTTGTCTGCCAATGTTTTCAGTTTAGGGTGGTCCTGTAGAACAGCTTTCCTCAGTGTGGAATGTTATGTACAGGTCACCCGAACAAGTTGTTAAAATGCAGATTCTGATTCTGCTAGTCTGCAGGGGGGGTCTGAACTTCTGCATTGCCCACAAGCTCCCAGGTGATGCCGCAGCACTGGTAGCCCACTGCCCCCCACCCAGGAGCAGGAGGCTGTGAAAACCAAAGGTAGAATTCTTTAGGTCCCACTGGTGGGCACAAAGAGACCCCTGGTGGCCAAAATGATAATTGCATATTCAGTCAATTCTTCAAAAGTTCCCACCAGGGAAGCATTCAGCTTCTCAGAGGTTTAACAATTATTGTGGACACAGGCTGACTGTCAAAGTGAGAAAACACACCTGGCTGATGATCTCTGACCTCCAAGGAGAACTGTTTTATTGCTAGGTGCTGGATGGGGTGCTTAGAATGGATTTCCAAGATGAGAAAACCAGATTGTCCCTAGCCTGCCTTCTCAGAATAGATGAGTATTATACAGAAATCATCACAGAAATTAATATAAAGTAACCACCTTTGATGATGTCTGTGAAGGAATAAAGTCATGTACTGAGTGTCTATGATGTGAAGGCACATCAACAAAAACTTCTTTGAATTGGTGACCTTGCAAGGTATGCTGAAGAAGAAAGTGGAATTCCTCAAGCACAGCACACTCTGGGCAGTAGAGAGAACATAGAAATTGGCAAGATTACGAGGAAAGGGTGACATTTGAGGAAATGTAGGAAAGCCAGTGAAGACCCATGTGAAATACTGGCATTGGTCTCCCAGGCAACAAAACTAAACCACCTCACTCCAGACATGGTCACGCACGGCCTCTTGACTGTGCCGCTCATGTTTTGAGACAGCGCTCTAGGCACGGTCTTGACTAGGAGGTCTTCCAATTAGCTGTAGACCCATCAGGAGGATAGTTTGTAATATTTTTGCTTTTCCCCTCCTTTCCCACTCTCCTTTCCCACCCCTCCGCCCTCCCTTCAGCGTCCTGGCTTTAACACATCAGATCCTGAAGGTTCAGGATCCTCCTCTTCTTCTAAGTAAAGCACTGAAAACAGACATTTCTTCTACTACCGATGTCTCTTACAGGGTAACTTGGCAGTGTTATGAGGTAGGTGACCAGACGCACTCTGTGTGAAGTCTTTCACAAGTCTCCGTTCCCACAAGAGCTAGAACACTGAAGGAGGAAACTGAGTAAAAGGTTAAAAATACCTGTGTCCCCATGTAGAGATGTTTGCATTAGGAGCGAGAGAGTCATGAGGGACAACAGAGAGTAAGTCCTGACAGAATAAGGTCACCTCCTAGTTACCTCTGCTAGTGGAAAAGAGAAATACTTCAGGCAAAAATATCAAGTTTCTGTCACAGGTGTTGACTTTTACAAGTTTGTCATCTTCCCACCTGAGCCAACTCTGCCCATTTTGTCTTTTGTGTTCAATATCCCAGTGGCAAATGGTTTGGAAGTTGTTCTTGACATTCTCTTTTCTTCCTCTTCCACTCAACAACTCAGTCTTCTTACCAAACATAATGCTTAGTAGTTCTGCAATCTACTTCCCCCCCATCCCAGGGATCACTCCCCAGTTAAGGTCACAGTGCAGGTCCTTGATTACTCCAATGGCCCTCACTGGGCTCTTGGGCTCCCCCTTACTTGCTTCTAGTCTGTTCTTCGGCTAGAGCAGTTTCTCTAAAATGCAAATCTGGTCAAGTTATTCTCCTCTTGAAAATTCAAAGAACTTTTTATAAAATCTACTTTTAACTCTTTATTCTCATTACTTTCCAAGCTGAACTCTAAATGTCAGCTCTGATTTCTTAGAAAACCTAGACATTTGTTTTACTGTCTTGACAGACCATGTCATCCTTGAAGCCTGTTCATACCACCTCACCTGCTCTATTTTCCTCATCCTGCTTCTCCAGGTTAGCTGGATTTTCCCCAGCAAGCCACTCTTGACCTTTGGATTTTGCTAGTTTCTCCAGGGCGTGCTCCTGTTATACTTAATTTATTCCTGTTGTAACATCTTTTGTACTGTCTTACCCACCAACTACTACTTCCCCTGAACAAGTAGTATGTGTGCATTCAATATTAGGACATTTATAGAGTAATGGAAGGCAAATGTCTCCAGTAATACCAATTCACTGTACGCTCATTACTTCCCTTCACACTACATATGGACACTGTGAATTTAGTTTTAAAACTTTAAACAATTACTAGATATTGTTATAAATGATATTCTTGTTTCAGTGTATAGTGGATTATGTAACCCTATTAACACTGAGCATTTAGGTGGTTTCTATTTTTTTCATGATTTTAGAAATTGTGGTTAATGACTATCTTCACTGATACCCTTTATACCTAACCAGTTGTTTCTGAAAACATTTGTACAAGAACCTATAATGTTAGTATCAAATTATACTTCCCATTGTTACTTTCCCCCACAACCTTAAAAATAATCTTATTTTTTCTCTTTTCAACCTGATTAACAGAAGACACTTTGCTGTGATCGATAGAAAAGTTGAGTATTGTGTTTGTTGAGTGTTTGGGTCATCCAAGTTTGCCCAATTTTCTATCAAGTCAGATTCTGTGGAAGTAAGCAGCACTTGTGATGAGGAATCTTGCACCGGTGACTTCTTAAGTGATCTAGAAGGGAGTAACGGGAAGAAGACAAGGTAATAAAGTTGAATATGTAGCTTCAGAAGAAGTCTGTCTAATGCCTTGAGGGCCCAGAGGCATGAACTGTACCACCTGGGCCAGAGGCTGGGCTGAACACCCTGCTTCAACTCTGCTCAAATGCCAAGCATGCGGTAGGGGAGGGAAGCCATGAAACTTCCCAGTTACCTCTGGGTGACTCCCATCACCACAGGACAATGCTCTGGGTAATGGTGAAAATAATTACAACTGAGCATCGAAGCAGATGCCAGTCAGTAAAGAGGATCTGGTGAACATAACTGCATTTGTCAGGTCACAGATTTGATTTTTCAAAACAATTATTTAAAGTCAAGAATCTGAGCCTCTGGAACTGGGGCTGCAATTGTACTTACCTGTCTGTATTTTGCTAACAGGGATTTCTATAGTGATCAAGCTCTTTGTTTTGTATTTGATGACCATGTTTAAGTCTTTTCATACCCAAACTTGTAAAATTTACCTATATTTTTTGCTATTGTTTTACAAGTCTTTTTGTTGTTGCTTTTTAAAATGAAATGTCATTTGTTTACACCCTTATTAACAGGATTTCCCCCCCAGGTGTGGTCCACACATTATCTTACCTGCTCATGATATACTGTCTTAATGTTTTCTCTTCACCAATATTTTGTTAAATAGTAAAAGAGGCTGGTGTAAAACTTCCTCTTTTTAAAATGATCTCTCTCAGAACAATTATCTACTTCTCATTTAAATGGCTTTCTTTATGGCAATTGATCCTAAGTGCAGATATTTGCAAAAAGGGCTACCTCAACTTAATAGAATGAACCTGCTGTTTAAAATATTACTTCCAAAGTTAGTTGAGCTCAAAAGCTCTGGTATTTTTAACATAGTTACTAGTAAAGTCAACATCAGTTTTTCAATTCTATGGAGGGGTTCCCTATTTCAAGGATGGTCACAGTCAGCTGTGGAGAGGTGCGTGCAGGGCCTCCTTCGTGTGGCTTCCGGGCACTTTCCCTCCCTCCAAACATTTTACAATGATTTCTCTCATGAAGACTCTGACTTGATGAGCTCAATGTAAGTGGCTTTAAGAAAGATCAAACAAGAGCCACCCCCTTAATGTTTTTCTAGTCAACAATAGCAGTTTTTGAGCAGTAAACTGAAAAATTAAGCTTTGTGTTTCAAATAAAGCAGACAAGCTTGAATTTTTTAATGACGAAACATTATTAAAGTAAGTCTCCTGAAATACTGAAACATTTCTTTATTCACTTACACAAAAGATAAATAAGTTTTTTTCTTAAAGTATATATCTAAATTCATTAAGCTGCAGTCTTTTTTAAAATGCTTCACTATATTTTATTGACATGTTGTTATAATGGTTTGAACACTGGTGTCTAACTTTGAGCTCCAAAGGAAAAACAGTAAATCATGGAAAGGTTCCATTTCTGTTGAGGCTGATGGACAGTAACAGCAAGGGAGAGTGCTGATGGCAGCTGGGTCCCCTTCAGTCCTCACACTTGGCTTTCTTGCAAGCTGGAAGAGAATCATCCTCTCCTTCTGATGACCGAGCTTTCTTCACAGTAGAAATAATTCCAAAAGCAGTTTTTCTAGTTTCTGTGAAACAAGCAGGGGAACCATAGTGCTTGAAGTTAAGACATGACTGCAAAAGAGGTGATCCTGAGAAGGACCACCATGTTACTTTCACCTGCATCATCAGTGATGAGAAAATGCCAATGAACTGTTAGTATGAGCAGTGATGCAATTTACTATCCTTACCTTTTTATTCCCAACATCAATAGTGATACATCATTACTATTGTGTAACATCACAAATAGTGATGTACATTAATACAATTATTCCTGAAGATTGCCCCAAAGGTAAGATTGAGGGTAGGCTTTCTCTAACTATGTGCAGTCTGTGTCATGAATCCTTGTATCCCTCTAAAGCAGACAAAATATTGAAAGAACCTTCTAAGTGGTTATAAATCAACTGTTCTTTGGAGGAAAACTTGATAAATCTCTATAATCAACTTTGTCATTCCTAGAGTTATGTGATGGTATCTTGAGTCTCAGTTATGGAATATAGTAATCTCAAACATGTTAATAATAAAAGCAAAATCATCTTAATTTATGGTCAGCCAATGCAGTGACCTGTTTTCTCAAGTAGAAATCACATTATTAAAATCTAAACAGAATTATTAAAATCAAC